AAGATGCTTTTATTAAAGAAAAATTTTGGAATGTTTACAAATGATGCTCTTACTACGTTCTGTCTAATTGACGATAGTCACAGTACTGCTCGTCCATCCGGGCTGTATAGACCAAAAGAGTTGTGTCAGCATATTTCCGTCCTCGCTGGTTGGGCGATCGGTTCATGAAGTTATTGCGCATAATGAATATAAAATGAAAAACGCTTAAACTACACACATAGCATTACACATTACTACAGTATTACATTACCAGGGTTCCTAACAGTCATGCCATATTTTTTTATTTCCATTAGGATTCAGGATGGCACCATCACTTAATGCCATATAATATTAAAACCTATACCATTATTTTTCTTCGAACACTGTACGTATTGATATTATGCTACTATAAGCTTTTTCCAGAAAAACAGAAAATTGCATAGAACCGTTGTTTTATTCAAAGGGACTTCAAACACTTCAATAAGAGACACGAACATGTTCAGTGGGGCCCATTATATTCTTGAAGAATGAATAAAAAAATATATAAATACATGTATATATTTTACTACGAATTTGCTTCATTTTTAATTTAAAATTTTGAATGGTGAATTTAGAAATCTGGTTCTTTTAAATTCTCACTCCCGTTATTTTTAATATTATCTTGAATATTTCAAAATCCATTGTTTTCAAGGCTTAGATAATTGATAATGTGATATATTACTGTATTTGTATAATCCCACATTTATATTTTATACTGAAATAACGACCATTATGTTCATTTGGGTCCATTATTTTGCCAAAGAATAAATTAAAATAAAATATAATATAATTTAATATCATCTGAATTTGGTTTTCTAGTATCTGATCACTTAAATTTTATAAAATACACTTTTTAATATTGGAACATCGTCGTCTCAGAATGAAAAGGTTCTAAATCAATTTTTTGTAAATTATTATTAAATATTTTTTGTTATTTAGCTCAATCCTGAAATTATATCGATCCGTTGATTATTCAATGAAATACAGAGAATGGAAAGTTTCTAATTCATACTTGAATGATAGGTACGGGCTAACTTAAAACGTTCTCCTGAACAATTACAAAAATTACGTTAGAACCTTTTCATTCTCAAACGACGACATCATAAAGTAAGTTATTCATATTTTAATATAGTTAAATAAAAAAAGGGCTTCTTAAATTATTTTATATAGGTACTAAATCATAATAATAATATTAATAATAATATTGAAGTCGATCTAAATTATACAGTAAGTTATAATTTTACAAAAATACGTCTTTTAACATTTTAAACTTATAATTCTACAAAAAGATTTTTAAAAAGTGTAAAATGAAAGGAAAATTACTAAAGTTAGAAAATGTTTTTATTTATAAACCTTTGCCTCATTATCCCAGCACGCCCACTGTTTTTTTTTTTTTTTTTGCTTTGGATTGCGAATTTTCGTTCAGAAATCCACACATAATATCCACTTCATAATTACATATTATAAGGTTATGGTTGAAGAATAATTTTAAAATGTTACTCTATTTCCTTAGCACTCTCACTGTTTTTTTGCATAGGTGTGCGAATATGTTGTTTTTTTTTGTAGATGTTTATGCTGGTGAAATTATACTTGACGATAACCTAGGTGGTTTGGTCTTTAATCTCTTTGGTTTAATCTCTTGTTTAACTAAAAAACGGGATTCATTAATATTATTTATATAAATATCTTAATGTAAAATTCCTTATAAGGACGAAAAGAAATTGATATTTTTTATTAGAAATCTTAAAAGGCGTTTTAGATTTTTTCGGTTGAATGGTAATTAATATTCTATTACATTAATACATTGAATACACCATTATATTTTATTTTTTTGCTTAAGTCAGAACTTATACCTAGTATTTGTATAAAACTCGTACTCACAACTCGAAATACTATAAAACTAAAATCAACGTTCATAATATAATATTTTCTATACAATTTAATTGTAAATAAAAGCGTATATTAATATGATGTACATTTTTGATTATAGCATTAAAAGAAGACATTTCATAACTCAGTTTTATATAAATGTATATAGTATTTATGTGGAAATTAGAAATTTGTATTCTATAATCGACCAAATTATAGATAAGGCAGAACTAGATTTATTTAAAATACAAGTACGTTATTAAAAATAATAATTTTCAAACATATTATTAACTATTATCATCACTACTATTTAAAATCATATTTGACGCTCAGCACCACAACTCTAAAATTAGTCATGACTCAGTTGGTATAGTTGTTTGACCAACTTTAAGCAACGGCTTAATAATTAGCATCTCAGTAATAAAGTGAGTTTGTTTCTTATATTTTAGTTAAGCGTATTTAAACGTCCTGTTGGTTAATCACTTTAAACTAAGTAAGTTGTGAGACTACGGAGTAAGCAAGGACCCGCTGAGTTTGTGAGAAATGTACTGAATACTGCGTTCTGCAACAATAATGAAATCATAATAATAAAAAAAATAAACCAGGGAATTCTTACTTGCTGTTTATAGTGTAAATCTAGTAGGTACTAGACGTTTATAGATAATAATATATTAATTTTGAATCCACTAATAAACCACTTTATACGGCGAAACTAATATTGTTATTAAATATATGAATAAACTTAATTTACTTATGATAAGCTTACCATATTATATTATAATTTGTATAGACATTTAATCGAGTGATATAATATAATATGTACTTTCATAAAGTTGCAAGTCTTTGAGGAATAATAACTAAATATTCTAAACTATCTAAGAAAAAATCATTATTTTTCATTTAAATTTCAAAAAAATGATTCTATGTACTTTGATATTTTTTAACTACTATAAAAACAACTTATCGGGAACTTTAATACTAATTTTCCAAACTGTTTGATCAAACCACAAACTTAGTCTCAATATTAATTTAAAAAAAATATCATGACGTATGGTAAATGATAAAATAAATATTTTTCGAAAATGTCAAGTATCTACCGTTATTGATTTTTGAATTACAACAAAATAATAAAATTGTTCGATGAGAATTTGTTAAGTTAAGACTGAAAATCCAATGTCAGAAAAATGTATGCATCATACTAATGTATCTTTGACTTTCCGCTAAACTTTTTTTTTAAGGGTAGAAAAACTTATGAGAATATTTGTATTAAATTTTATCTTAAATCTTAAATCTTAAATTAAAATAGAAACATTTTTATGAATTATTAACTCAACATAATTTATAAATTGTAGTGATTTTATCGAATTTTATCAAAATTCTAGCTTCAAATGCTCACAAAAAAAATATTGTGGGTTTATGTTCAGTTTTTTTTTAATTTCCATGAATAACAACTTATGAGTTAATCTAAAATTTATTTTTTTTTTATATTTTGACTGAGCGAAAAATTGTTATCAAAAAAAAAAAAAAACTATTAAAAATCGAAACTTTTTCATGAAAATAAATTAATCAAAAAATATTTAAAAATATTTAAAAATATTTTAACTATTGAATAATATATATAAAATAGTAATTTAAGCATCTAGTGAAAATTTAAAGTATCTACTGTTATTAATATCTTAGTTAGGTACACCAAAATAACTAAATCGAGTTGGTCGAAAACTGGTTATGCGTAAAAATTATTTTTTTCCCTTAATTATTTTTTTCATATTTCTTGACGCTTATGAAAACTCTTTGGAATTTTTGATTTTGACCTTGCTTAAGTAGCAACTAGATTTATTTTCCTACCAAAAAAAAAATACTGATGTTGAAAATCAAAGAATTATTTCAACTACTTATCATGTGAAAAACCACCATCAATTTAGTATACTAATTTTGATGAAATTTACTGCTCCAACACGTGATGACAGACAAACAAACAAACAGCATCATAGTAAAACTTCTATGTTTAGCTAAAAACTAAAGTCAAATAAAACAATCAACCACCACTAAACCCGAACCATGTTTCAGCATTAATACCTCTTTATTTTCACGCGTTCGTCCCTTCAAAAACGAAGAGAAAAGCGTGGTCGTTCACATAACTTGGTGGCACAGGGTAACAGAATAAACCCTAGCCAACCACTTATATTTCCGTCACCAAAAATCAATTAAAGATGAAAATGATTTTCTTTACGTCTTTTTGAGTAATTATTAATCTAATAGCATAAATCCTGCCCAGAGGCTATGATCTATATTTTATACTGCACACTTTATATGAATTTATTACGGATTATCTTACCACATCTCCCTCACTAACCAGTTAATATTATAAAATAGCACTTAACTAAACACTGATCTGGTGCTTGACTGTTTAGAGCTGCATCAGCAGATAAAGGAAATTCATGTTCAAATGTTAAGAAATTAAGAGAGAATTGTGTAAAAATTAAAATTAAAATATCACAAAACTAATCCTAAGATTACATAGAAGATCAATTTGAATATTTTTACAGGATTGAATACTATTCATTTGACATTTTGGATTTTTTGCCTTGCCTTTATTATAACAACGAACACGATCGATTGAAACAAAGGCAATGGAATAAAGTAAAAATGTAAAAAAGGAAATGTTGATAGGTAGATACCTAAGTTTAGGTTTTGGAATTCTTTTCGGGCTATAATTACATTCAAATGTATGAATAAAATTTGAAATCGGCAAGAATAGCAACGAATTTTCACGATGCTAATCACTGGAAATTTCGTATTTCACATGGTCCTCGAGGTACTGTACTTGATTTCACAGTGCCCGATGGTGGGGGGGGGGGTGAAAATTATTAATAATGTATAATATTCGTAAAGATATCGGCCGGTGCATTTATAACCACCGTACCGATGCGTGCGCCGGTCCGGTGCGCGCCGTCATATAAGTACGACGAAGGCGTATGCCCCGGAACGTAGCGCGTTGCGGTTTCAGTTGCTAAAAAGCCACACCACCGTCGACACGGGTCGTGTGAAAGCTGCCACTGCCGCCGCCGCCGCCGTGTAGGTATATAGTCCCCGCGAAACGTGCCAAAATAAAATTATATCATACGATCGGATACGATGATGTCGAAAAAGTGACACCCCAACGAGCGTGTAGGGTTTGCGATATTCTCGGCCCGTCTTTCGGTCAGTGTTATACCATTACCACGCATACGTAACCGCCGAGTGTTGTAGTAACCGCGGTCGTCGCGTCCGGTGCGTGGTTTTCGGTGATTAGTGCGATGTGCAATTATTGTACCGTTGGCCATTGTTGACGATTCCGGCCGGACCTGCGGCACATCATACAGCGGTAAGACGTCGAGACGCCAGCGGACGACCATTGGACAGCACAACTCGAAAAACATAATATTATAGTACACTACTCGGTAAACGCATTTTCTTGTGATATTAATAATTTTTCCACGTGGAATTTCCGTCGGGTGGCTCGGCCCGCCGACGACGGCGTAGGTGCTACAAATAATATGTTAATTATATAATAAGTATTTATTTATATAATAATATGTACGTTGATCTGCAAAGTCTGTGATATGGTTTTGCGGAAACGTAACGTAAAGTGTCTTATTGATGACAGCCGCTCAACCGAAATGATATTACTGGTGTGCCTTGTCGTGTTTGTATTTTTTATTACGATATCCGCGTGTCAATCAGTGTATACGATATACGTTTCAAGAGTAACCAAGCAATATGAAAAAAGCTCTTGTTTAGTGTGCATTCATTAACTTGAGTTTACTTTTGTAAACCATAAAGATAAATGCACAATGAACTTGCTACAGCTTTGGCGTTTCATATATATGTCGGTGTATCAGCGTTCTCTTTTTACACGCAATGTGTTTATTAAAAAACAAACACTGAAACACACTAACCTCACCTGTTTATAACAATTTTACTCTATGGTCTTACGTACAAATCGTATGATGAAAACTTTGAACGTAAGCAATACAACTTAATGTAATACGGAATTCTAGAATGTCTACTAAAAGCACTACGCTATTTTATAAGTTTCTGCTAACAAAAGTTCCATGAAATCTGCTCTTAAATAGGTAGCAACTTGAGAAACGTTATTTTGATTATCATATAGGTAGGCAATTTATTTTATAATCTCATGTCTTATATTATGCGTTTAAACAATTTACAATTATTGGGTTTTACATAATATCTTGTCCTAGGTATAAATTATTTATTAATTGAGTTGTATAGGTGGATAGGTAATGATTTTATATGACAAAACAAAATTGTTTATATGATGGGGATTAGTTTAATAATACCTATTACTTCACAAAAAAAAAGTTAAATGAAACGAATTTACCTCTTTGGATTGGATATAAATTATTGAAACCTCATAACATTATTAGTTTGTATAGAGTTTTTGATTAACCAACTAAATGCGTCAAATTTTAATTATTTATTTAACCTTTTGATGTTCACTATTTAAAACATAATATTACTTAGATTTACGTAAATTTAAATACATTCAGTGCATTTGTTCAGTTAATTAAACTATACTAGGTTAATAAATAATATATTAGACAGAACGTTTCCACTTAGAATTTTTTTTGTATCCAATGATTCGCATTGACTTCAAATTCAATACATCTATTACAGTGCCATACACAATAATGAGGTACGTTAGATAGGTACCTAATACAAGTATAGCAGATATAACGTTCCCCGACTTTTAAAATTTAAAATCAAATAAATAAATATAAGTTACAAGCAATAATAAATCACGTCATGTTCAGACATCAAGATGTTTTATAAAAATCGTCAATATTAGTTTCATACAATATTAATTTGTATCTATATTGTATACAAAATTTAAATATATATTAAAAATTAAAATTTGAAAACCTGGACTATCATTGGAACCAGATAAAACGTCAAATAGACTTAAAATAAATTATATAAAATAAAATTGTACATGGTAGTAACTGTAATAATAAATATCGACTATTGTTAATCAGTGGTAAAAATAAAAAATATATTAAAAGTTATAAAAGTACTTAGCTAAAACTCGTTAAATCAATATAAAAGTTTTTTGGATGAAATTGTAAAATTTGACATCATTTTATGATAGTAAATATTGAGAGCAACAAAAATGTGCTGGCCGTGCAGCTTTATAGGTACAAAGTACTTATACTATATATTATGTGGGCGATATAATTTAAGATGTTATAAATAAAAAAGGAAAACTGTGGTATGTCAGGCTATGACCAAGCGGTTGTATATAACATAGATGAAACATATTTAGGAAATATTAAATAGGTATTATATAATTCCAAATTTCTAACCACTTAGGAGATCCCAATCAATATGAACAATGTACGTGAAACCATTTAATAAAGACAATCAATGGCCTGTAGAAGCTAAAAACAAAACAAAAAAAAAAAAAAAATCGATCTTTTGCGCAAGGTGTTATATTATACACTTTATACGGAGCACTGAAAGGGTATGGAAAAAATAACCATAACGCTATTATTATAATTATTTTCAAACATTTTAACTGTTTAAATTGATAATATCGATTTTCTGACCTAATTCAAAACTATAATACATATCTATTCTATGTCCTATATAATATATTTATATAGCAAATTCTTTGTTTTAAAATATATAAAATCATGTATAAAATGTGGTGAAAATAACGAAATCAACAGTAAGATTAGTATGTATTTAAATTTGGACATCATTGGCCTTGATTAAAATTGTAAATTATTATAAATTGTTGAAGAAACCACATTTTTTTTCGGTTTACAATTTAAAAACTATAAAAATGATCCAAATGTTTTACGTAGTGTTTCAAAACTGTATTTAATTTATTAATAATATAGATGTACTACCAACTATAGTTACTATACTACAATACTCTAAGATGTATATTATTTTTAATAAACAACACCAAATATAATAATCATTTCAGTTAAATTAAACATAATATGTTTCAATTGTGAAATTAACGATCATAGTGTTGATAAACTATGTATCTACGGTATTATACAATTTTTGGATGATGATATTGGTTTGTATATTATACATTCAGAGTATTGGAGTATACGCCCATGTGTAGGTAACTTCATTGCTCCTCGTAGACCCAAACAAGAGAACTGCACAATCGCCTTTGGTGACTTAATAAATACTCTTAGTATAATAAGAGATACATTCTCTTTGGTATGTCCAAGTATAATAACAAAAAACATACTCAAGTATAAAATGGTGCATGAGTGCGTGACTTCACATCATCGTGTCCAGTAATCTGTTTGCATTTCTGAATGCGCACTTTTACCACTTTGTATACCAAGAACACAAAAGCTCTGAAGCACATAGTGCCCAGGTTAAATTTTCTTCTCGGACGAGACCACGAACCATTGATCACTTCATCAAATCTAACCAATAATTGTATTGGACAATATTATAACAATTCATCATAATAGAGTGATCGATACAGAAAAACTATATGAAAACATTTGATCAACATTTACTGGTCATTAGGTACCATTATAATAACTAATATTTAATAATTGATATTGCATATTATATAACAATATACATGGTAAATAAAATAGACATTACCATTGTTATTATTGTTTATTTATTCAAAATATTATATTATTATATGCATAGGTATTGTACCTACACAAATGTACGTAGTATATATTATTCAAAACTAAAATCGTACGGTATTTATTTGATTAGACTAAACTCAAAATAATCAACTACCTTATGTACTGAAGTTTTGAACTTTAAAGTCAGTCGGTGCAACCACAAGTTGATGAGTCCACGGCTGTATATAATATGGCGCAGCAGCCGTTACCCATAGTTCAATAGTTGTATAGAAAGCAACCACTTATTCGAACTCGCGAAGACGCATATAGGTTGGCGATAAGGACAAATTCCGTATTGTCTCAGTTTACCTATTTTACTGATATTATGTTGTGATCTTATCAGAAACGCTCTTAACACAACACGTTATCTGGTCAAAATATACTTTATTTTAAACGGTATATTTTAATTGAGTATTAATAGGTATATAATATGTATAATAATATAATATTCCTATCTGACTCAACATTTGCATAATATGAATTAAAAATATTATCAGTACTTAAATAATGTGATAAATCCCTTTCAATATTAATCATTGCCAAATTTTATAATCTTTAACTGTTTTATAACTATAATTAATTATCATTGAGGGAAAAGAAATTTCCGAAGTTACACTAAGTACATACATGATAAATGCAACATCATGGAGTTAATACTTTGCCTTTGGACATCGATATTGGACTTTTAGTTGTGAAATAGTAAATATATATCTAAATCAATGTAAGTAATTATAAATATTATAATCTGATTTCTAATGGAAATGTAAATGTAAATATGTTGTGTTTTTTAAGTGGTTCTATTCTTCTGTTACAAACAATTATTATTATTTCTTTTCTTTTAAAAAATAGCATAATTAAATGTTAGGAAATTTTCATAATTTATCCATCTTAGATGTATACTTAAATAAACACACACTAGCTAATACTCTAATTTTTATCCTTTCACTCAATATTTGCATTATCATCTATAAAGAAATTACATCCAAAAAATGTTCATCTTAACACAATAATTATTATAAAACAGCATATAACTTTAACGTTCTGGTGTTTAATTTATTTATTTTACTTTGTTTAAATGAATTCTTTCTGTACAATAAGTGTGCCATTTAGGAAAACAAAATGTACAGTCAATTAAATTTTCCAAGTGACTTGAGTACCTGACCAAAAACAGTGACTTTAAGTTAGCAAAACAATACTCTACGAATTTCACGTATGAAATAATTTTAAATGTCTTAATAATAATATTCTCTTTTTGTATAATATATCAAAACTTATAGAAACAAATGGTTTCTTATTTATTCGGATATTAAAACAAAAGTTTTTGAACATAAATTATCGACCATTTAAAATTTAGAATGATAATTAGGTACCTAATGAAAAATATTTAATAATGTTTTTTCATACAAGATTTTTTTATTAGAAATTAGAAATATTTATGTTATACCATAAAGAATATTAATTATTCATTTATAACAGTTATACAATTACATACATGAATATTATTGTTGTTGATCAACATGGAGAACAATTATTGGTATCCAGATATTATATATTTATTTAAAAGCTTAATAATAAAATATGAAAGGGAATTAAAATGTTGCAACCTAAAATATATTTTAATTCCGTTTCTAAAGATTTTACGTAGCTTAAAGAAGCATTATTATTAGTTGTCACATAATTATTAAGGAACTTACCTTATATAATAAAAGTTTGTTGTTCCATGAGTCTTAAAAGAAGATAATATA